CGTTAGGCTGGCTTGCCCTGGGGCACCTGCTGAGCAGTTTGAAGTGAGGCTTGCGCGCTGCCACTGCGCTCTGTCAGATGCCTGGTCTGACCGCGCACCCGAAGTCATACGAAGGTTGGATATGGCAGTGTAATCGGAGTGCCGGTTTTGCTACACAGGCGCTGTCTGAAAGGGCTCCCTAGCCCTCTCGAGGTAGATGGGTGCCTCCCACTAGCCTTGCCGGCCCCACATCGATACACGTGCTTGCGGCGGGTGTTCTTACACTTGGTTGAGGCGGGTGAAAGGCACTTGGCTGTGGCGTTCGATTGCCGCCTGGCCGCGGCGGGCGCTTGCTTGGGCAATGGATCTAGACAAGTACAAGTTGTTTGCGCGGGGGCGGGGCGGGTGAGGCTGGGACAATCTCCAGGCGAGTTGCCCGGAGCGTGTCTGGAGCTCTTCGGGAGCATTGGATGGGATGCACAGCGAGGGGGAGGTTTTCCAGCCTGGAACATATGCCTATCCCAGTGCTGGGCATATCCTCATCACGATGCCAATCTTAGGGGTTCCCTCATTTTCTGAGGGCGCGTCCCTAAGATTGTCATCGCCTGCTGGCGTGTCAATCTCAGGGGTAGGGATGACTTCGAGGCTGGGAAGAGGTGTCTGGAGAGGGGTGGGGTGGGGGGGGGGCAGGGGCTCGGGGGGCCCAGCGCCTCGCGGAGCTCCCCTCCAGAATCCGGGGGGGGGGGAGGGCGAGGGGGGGAGGGGGGGGGGGGGAACCCCCTCCCCGAAGGAAGGGGGAAGGAAGGGGGAAGGGGGGAGGCGCGCCGAGGAGGAGCGGCGAGGCCGAGGAGGCGCGGGCCTGGCGCGCGGGCGGGCGCGCGCGGCGCCGCGCCGGGCGCGGCGGGCGCGGGCGCGGCTGCGTTCGCCGCGCGGCGCGCCGAGGCGGCGGGCCTCCCATCGGGCTCTGGGAGGTCCCGCCGCCGCAAGGGGGGGGAAGAAGTGGGTTAGCAGAACGAGCGCGTTAGGCCACGCACGCCCAGAAGGCCAGCGGGAGCACGCAGGGGGACGCACAGCGTGCCCCGCAGAGGCGCGCGGGGTGCGAGCGAGCAGCGGTTGCGATCGGCTGCATCAGTTTGCGAGAACCCCAACCGTTGCATGGCAGCATCACAACCATATGCCCTCAACTTGAGCCATAACCTCCCAGCCTCACGGCCCATGGCTCATCTCAAGACGATCACCTAATCACCCGTGCCGCACCCTCCCTCCTTGTCGATCTCTCGCTATGTTGTTTTCTCTCTCTCTCTCTCTCTTCTCCCTCTCTCTTTTTCCCTTTTTGTCCTTCGACCCCTCCCTCGCCCCTGCCTTCTAACCGCAGGACGAAGCCCAACACCTAAATGCAAACGGCAAGGCTCATCTGTGAAGGAATGCCCGTGGGGTTGCGTTACCTTTGTGATGGCAGGTTGCGTAGGGCCCCCCTGCGCTGCAAGTGTGTCGTTGCTCTCTCCAGCATAGGTGCATGTGAACAGTTGCAACGACCCAGACATGACCCTGCCGTGCTTGTAATATGTCCCCGTTCTGACCCGAGCTTTCCCCCCACCCACCCCCACCCGCCCCCCGTCATGCGCGGCGGCTCTTGTCGGTGATGTTCGTGTAATGTCCAAAACTGGTTTAAAAATTATGACCCCCCCCCCCAGGATCCCGACTGCCATGAACTCGCATCCGAATAACTATGTGTTAATCTGTCCACTTGGAAAAAAACAATAGCTGCCAATCGATGCCACTTGTATATACTTCGGTACCAGGGGGAATGCCGATGTGACATCCTGGAGGGCGCGCCGGCCCTCGTTGTAACGTGGTGTAGCCCGCTTGCGTGGCCCAAACGGGGGGCGGCGTTCATCGTATCCTGGTGTAGCCCCGCACATTTGGCCCAGAGGGCGGTGCGACCTTCGCTGTAACCTTCGCCCATATTGAGCCAACTTGGACCATATTGCCCCTATCTCGGAGGCTATCTTAAAGCACTTGTGGCCCTCTCGGTACCAGAGGGCGTGCGCAACGGATGATCCCCCAAGTACGGTCGGTCTCTTTCCACGCCAGGCTCGGGCGTGTCTGGTGTGGCTTGTTCGCAACCCAGACAGGGTGCGCGGTGCGCAGGGAGTGGTCCCTGAGCGCAGTCTCCATCCACGCAGGGGTCGCAGGGCGTGGCAGGCGTGGCCTGACGCCAAGGGGGGGTGCGCAGGAATATGCCCCTGCACGCAGGGCGCCAGGGCGGTCGCGGGGACGTCCCCAGCGATCCAGTTTGCTCCGCCTCTCTTTTGTTTTCTATAGGCGCACTACAGCGCTGGGGGAAACCATTGTTAAAACTGTCTCCCCTTAGTATGTCTTAGCAGTTTTTAAACATTACCGTCATACTTGCCTATTGCGTTTCTGGATGACGTGCGCGCCCTCTTGGCCCGCAGGGCTTAGTATAGCCACTCTTGGTTCGCAATGCCTGGGGGCTGGTGTTCGCTGCGCTGGAAAAAGTGGGCAGTCTCAGGGCAGAGCAAGTAAAGCGGCATCGCATCTTACTTCCGTGGGCCCGAAAAGGGAAGAGCTGTCACATGCTAGCCCCCTCTCTGGGTCAAGGGGTAGAAAGTTGTCACGTGGTATCCCCGTTGCGTTCTGTAAAAATGAGAGGGCTGCCACGTGCTACTCGCTTCTGGGCACAAAGAAGACATGCCATATATTGTCGCCAAGCTTTTTGGGCCTAGGAGACATTGCCGCATGCTGCTCCCCCTGGGGCCGAGGGGAAGATAGCGTCCTTTGGTGATTCGCCGGTGGGCCCACGACGGGAGAGCCACCACAGTTGACCCGATGTTTGGCAAAAAAGGTCCTCTGCATATGTACCCCAATCGCGGCTTAGGGAAAGGGCGGTCATTCGTCACCCGCTCTGGCCAAGGACGAGAAGGGCCACACTTCAATCCTGACTCGCCCAGGAAGACAGCTGCCACGTGCCCTCTCCCTCCTGGGCCCAGGGGGAGGCCTTCGCGCGCTACCCCCCCTCCCCCTTATCCAAGTCTTGGCGAATGGCGGGGGAACCGCCACACGCCGCCCCCTCCACTCCCAGCCAAGACAAGGGAGAGCTGACGCATGTTGCCCCACTCCCGGCCCAGTGGCAGAGGGTTGTGACATGTTACCCCCTCTTCGATTAGGCAGTTTCCCGTGCCTCGCGTACCGCCCCCAGTGTTTGAACCCCGGTTGTTGTCAGGGCATGACGAAGAGAAATGTGGTCCACGTTGCTATCATGAGGCTCGTTCGTGGGAGGAGGGCTGGCACGTGAATTTCCCGCGTATGGCATAACACCTCCTAGCTTCAGCAAGGCCACCCGTAGAAGTGGTAGCGCTAGCATTAGTGTTACCGTTGTGCACGTACCATACCATCGCACGGAATTTCTATAAACCACACAATATTGCGTGTGCAAAAACTCCCGCTGAACAGCTACATAGCATTGAAACACGCTGAACCCCGAAGGACACCAGGTGAACCAGCCTGGAAGACCACAGCGTAGCATAATGTAGCACAGATGGCATCGCAACGCTACGCTGCGTAGCATTACATAACAAAGGAACCATAATACCCCCCACGGAGCCTCCCCCAAGAGCCCCCCCCGAGAAACCTTGGACTAGTTAGGGCGGCGGCTGGCGTGAATCACTCGGCTCGAGACACACCCCGTTCCACCAGGGCCAGCAATCTTTCCGCGATACGCCTTCCCCAAATTCAGAATGTTGATTACATTCTCAAGTGAGGACTCAGGCCAATTGCCCCAAGGGTACATCTACCAGGGCGGGAATGAGCACAACCGTCTGATTCCTTCTGTCGGTGTGGGTGTGACGGCCCCGCAGGTCTCAGCCGATCCACCAAGTTACAACGCCGACTACGAACAGGAAGCGTGAATCATTGCTGCAGCAGCAGCCAAAACTCTTGCCATGCCCATGTACAGCCAGGGACACATTCGCCAAGCCAATTTGCAAGTTGCCAGGGCGGCATGTCAAGGCAGCAGTGGTGCTAGCTTTTTGTTTCGTCCTTCCAATGCGTGCCGAAACGACTGCCAGCTCCAAAACGACAGGTGTGGCGGACATGTCTACCAGAAGCTGGATGCATATGAGGCGGCCAGCCTGGTCGAGAGCTCGACTTTTTATTCCCCGTCAGCGGCGATGGGTGGAACAGTTGTGTTTGATGATGCGACAGGAAGCTGGGGGATACGCGGGGTGGGACAGAGTCTCCGCCTCACAGACAAAGTGGAAGCAGCACGTGAGAAGCTTAGTAGCCCGCATATAGCCAATGCACTGCGCAGTGCACGGTAGAGGTAGGTAGGTAGGTAGGTAGGTAGGTAGGTAGGCGGCGAGGTTGAGGCTACAGCACCAGCGAGCGGGCTAAACGGGGGCGCCTTTGTGGCGAGCTGGCCGGCGTGCACGAGCGGAGAAAACAGGGCAGGGCGGGCGGCCGCGGAGGGGGGGCGCGGGAGGGGCGAGGGGACACTCGGGGGCGGGCGGGTCTCCTCCCTGTGCGAGCTGGCGCGGCCAGCCCCGCCGACGGGGACCGGCGGGGCTGGACAGACACTGGTCGAGAATTGGTCACAGGGCACCATTCGTCCATTGTTCGTTTCCGAGAATTGACAGGACATCATTCACAGGACAGACTTGGTGGAGAATTGGCCGACATTCGTCCATTTGTTACACAGGGCACCTTCTGGAGGGCGGTTTAGGTCGCCTTAGGTCCAGACGTGCAAAGGGCGAAGCCCCAAGGATTCGCTGCAAAGCCAATCAACGCTGGAGGCGGCCGGCCTGGTCGAGAGTTGGTCACGCATGTGACCAGACGTTTTTCCAGCGCTTGGCCCTTCTAGGGCCAGAGACTCGCCGGCCCTCCGCATGCGTATCCAGTGCGTGGCCTCCGGAGGTTCCACATGTGAGTCAAGCCCTAGGTGTTCCAGCTGTCCTCGCCTCGCCTCTCCCCGGTAATCAAGAGACATCGTGTCTCGACGCGAGGTTGAAGGCCGCGCTCCAAGAGAAGGAGCACTTCAGGGGCCTCTTCGAGCAGGTGCAGAGGGAGCTGCGGGAGTCGAGGTACACCAGCATGCCAGAGCACACCCCCGGCCAGGAGTTGCAGGAGTTGCAGGCGCAGCTCGAGGCTCGGCTGCACGCAAGACCCGCACTGCGTCAGAGTAGCCCTTGGTGCACGGCTTTCGGAGGACCAAGCCAGCGGTTGCCAGCATGGGCTCCGCGACGAGGTTTCGCGGTTTGAGGCTCTCGGACGCTTTCATCGGCTCTCCACGGCTTTCCAGCCTCGAGGTGTGTTCCAGCCAGTGCGCCTCGCCGAGAGCAGTCTGGAGGGGCCCGGGTCGTCCCGAGCGGCCGCCAGAGATCCGAAATATTACCCCTCCTCCTCCTCCTCCTCGTCCTCCTCCTCCTCCTCCTCCTCCTCCTCGTCCTCCTCCTTCTCCTCCTCCTCCCTCGGGGCTCGGGGGAGGGTATACCCAAGCACGCAGGCCGGCCGCATGCAACGATCGGCAAACCGCGCACCAAAAAGGTCAGGCTTGCCTGGGGTCACTCTGTGTCGTGCAGCTGGGAGGTGGCGACTGAGCTGAAGGGCCAGTTCTACAGGGAAGCGGAGGAGCTCCGCAACCAGCTGCGGCAGGCGCAGCAGGTACAGCCAGGCGGGAAGAAGGACGAGTCCACGTGCGTCGTGTGCATGGACAACCTTGCCAATGTGGTCTGCCTCCCGTGCAAGCACCTGGTGCTATGCTCGGAGTGCTCGGATGACGTGGGCTCGTGCCCGATTTGCCGGACGTCGGCTGAGGAGAAGTTGCAGATCTTCACCCCTTGAGGGCACCGGGCAGTTTCTGCGGTCCATGCTCCGGGGGGAGGGGATGGTGGAATGCAGAGGGTGGCGAGGGTAGGTCACCAGGGCATCGCGTCGCACATGTGCGCGCGGGACTCTTCATCCTCCTCCTCCTCCTCCTCCTCCTCCTCCTCCTCCTCCTTCTCCTCCTCCTCCTCTCCTCCTCCTCCCCCTCCTCCCTCTCCTCCTCTCTCCTCCTCCTCCTCCTCCTCCTCCCCCTCCTCCTCCTCCCCTCCCTCCTCCTCCCCCTCCTCCCTCTCCTCCTCCTCCTCCTCCTCCTCCTCCTCCTCCTCCCCCTCCTCCTCCTCCTCCTCCTCCTCCTCCTCCTCCTTCTCTTCCTCCGTTCCAGATTCATCCTGCAACTCCTCCCCTCTTCATGTCAGCTTCTCCCTCCCTCGTCATCCTCCCCCCTCCTCATCCTCCTCTTTTTGCCCCGCTGAAGCACGGAGGGAGTGATCCTTGCACTGAGCTTGTCGCCTCGCGAAGCACGACGACTGTTGAGCCATGCGGCTCTAGCATTAAGTCGGGCGTGTCCCTCTACAGGAGGAACCTTAAAACATAGTCAAAACATCGTATGGGGACGATTTGTCTACCATGTTTAGCTATGTTTGGGTATGTTGGGGGTATGTTTTATTTTTCGTCCAAAATCCGCCTACAGGGGGACATGCCCGACCTAACTCTAGCAGCAAGAATAGTGCTCGAGCACCCAGCTTCCCAATAGACGCGGGCAGGTGCGAGCGCGCCGCGCGCGAAAAAAATGCTGAGCGGAGGATGCCTCTGGCGCGAAAGGCCCCCTCCGTCGAAGTCGTTCTCGCTGCCAGCGTCACCGTCACGGCATGATGTTCCAACCTTGTTTACCCTTGATGAATTGGCAGAATTTCGAGCACCAAAAAGATACCGAAACGCGAGGGCTTTCGCGTGTCAGGCCCTGGGAGACACTCCTCCGACACCGTTTCGACACTCTTCCGACACTCTTCCGGGTGCTCGAAATTATTTCTGGGATGTGGCCCTTAATCAGGCGATCGCAAATATGGATTAAGGGGGCGTGGATTAGCGACGGGTCCCGTTTCCGTGTGAAATCGCGGATTTCCGCCGCAGAGCGAGGAGGCACCGGCCGCATTTGGGGGAGGGCACCTCCCCTGGTACATGGATTGGGCGGCCGCGCGCCAAATCCCTGGATCGCCGAGCCATGTTTGCGCGCCCCCGGCTCTCAAGCACGATGGGAGCAGCATGAAGTCCCGTCTCCTGGCTCGGGCCGGACGAAAGGGAGGGATTGGGAAAGGGGGGGGTACGAAATTTGCTGCATGCAGCTGGTTTCGGCCCCGCGGCTGGGCCCATTCCTCGATACATGGGCGCCTCCCGGCGCCGGGAGGCGCCGGGAAAATCAGCTGCGTGAGCTGATTCTCACCCCCCCCCTTTGCTATCTCCCCCTCTCGCCTGGCCCGACCCTGGGACACCCGCGCAGGCGGCATCGTCCTCTGGGACACCCGCGCGAAGGCCGGGCCGGTGCTCCGCACCCCGCTCACGGGCAAGGGCCACTCGCACCCCGTGCACACGATGCAGCAGGCGCCGCCTCCGCGCGGGGGCGGCGGGTAGCGCCGGGAGGGCCCCGCGCCGCCCGCCGAGGGGGCCCCTCGGCGTGCCGTGCCTCGGGGCTCCCTCCCGAGGAGGAGGAGGAGGAGGGAGGAGGAGGATCCGAGGAGGAGG